CTGGCTCTGTGAATCTCTGTGTCTCTCTGACTGTCCAAATCTCTCTGTGTCTCTGGCTCTCTGAATCTCTCCGTTTGTCTCTTTGGCTCTGTGAATCTCTGTTTATGATTCAGGATCTATGAATCTCTCTACAGGTCTCTGAATCTCTCTGTTTCTCTGGCTCTCTGAGTCTCTGGCTCTGGCTCTGTGACTCTCTGTCGAGGGTCTCTAGATAGAGACTTCCCTCTGTGTCTCTGTGATTCAGTCTCTCTGTCTCCCTCCTCTCTTTTCTGTGCCTCTGTCCTCTGTCCCCCTTCTCTGACCCATTCTACGTGTCTCTCTGGCCCTGTGAATCTCTCTATCTCTGAGGTCTCTCCCTCCCTCTGAGTGTCTCTGTAATTCAATCCCTGTCACCCTCTCTCTAGGTCTCGCGGGCTCCGGCGTCCTCTTTGTGCGCCCCCTCTCAGGAACGGGGGTTCTCTCCGAGGGCCGGCGCGGTCCGTCTCTTCCGGCCTCCCCACCCCTTGGTCCCTCTCCCTGCGTCCCCGCCTTTCTCTTGTCGGGCTCTGAGCCTCCCCAGCTCGAGAACACTTTCCAGTCCCCGCTCCCGGGAGAGCCGCTCTGTTGCCAGGGGCAACCACGGCCCGCCCCGGGCTGCGGGGCGCAGTGCGTTCTGGGACTTGTAGTCCGAGCCTGAGGACCAGCCGTTCCCTGGACGCGGCCGAGAACTCCGTCTCCCGGCGTGCCCCGCGAGGCTGGGCGGGACGCTGCGGCTGCGCCTGGGGGGACTCTGGACGCCCAGCACACCTTCTCTGGGACTTTTTAGGGGTCCTGGGCGGGTTTCCGGGGATTCCCAAAGCCGAAGGGAAAGTGGGGGAATCCGAGTCCTCTTGTAACCACTCTCTCCCCAAATGTGGAGTCCACTGGCCTTCCAGCCACTTCCAGGTGACCTAGGGCGAAGGATAGGGGTCGGGGAAGGCCGCGAAAACCTACCTGGGAATCCCACCACTTCTAGTCCAGTGTCCTTGGGTTCTTTCCCGAGTTAACCACCGTATCACCCCAGAGTTCTATAGCTGTTCTCTCGAGTGCCTTCCAGAAGGGATTCAGGCATGGGATGGGAGAGAGGAGTGTGGGCGAGGCGTCCTTTGAGAAGACAGCGATGGGGTGGGTTGACGCTCAAGAGCGGTCGCTGCAGAAATGGAAAGGAGGCCTTTCCTCACTCAACGGGTGTGTGTGCCCCAGCTGGCCCTTCTCTCTCCCCTTCCAGGGAAACCCCTCCTTGCCTTGCGGTATCTCTACCCAATTGTTTTTGCGGATGTAGATGCAGAAAGGGGGTTGTGTGATCCTAGATTTTTCTTTAAAACTTTTTTTTGTTTTGCCGGGCGCGGTGGCTCAAGCCTGTAATCCCAGCACTTTGGGAGGCCGAGGCAGGTGGATCACAAGGTCAAGAGATCGAGACCGTCCTGGTCAACATGGGGAAACCCCGTCTCTACTAAAAATACAAAAAATTAGCTGGGCATGGTGGCGCGTGCCTGTAATCGCAGCTACTCAGGAGGCTGAGGCAGGAGAATTGCCTGAACCCAGGAAGTGGAGATTGCGGTGAGCCGAGATCGCGCCATTGCACTCCAGCCTGGGTAACAAGAGCGAAACTCCGTCTC